CTTTCTTTCTTTCTTTCTTTCTTTCTTTCTTTCTTTCTTTCTTTCTTTCTTTCTTTCTTTCTTTCTTCTGCATACAGGACAGCACTGCATTTCTTTGCAGCTTTGCTGGGGCCCGTTGTCGATTTTCAGTGGACTTTCGACCGCTTGGTACCTTTTAGTTCCCACACTGCTTCTTCTCTTCTATGTGATGTGCTGCTCAAGAGCCTCACCCATCTTTCTCCTCCTTGGTTGGCAGTTTCCGCCCTGTGGGCACATTGGGACCAAGGCAGGAAGGAGCTGAGCCACAAATATAACTTGCCCACTGCTGAGCACAGCATATTCCGTCCTTGGCAATCTTCCCATCCCCAAGAGTCTTTGGGCAGGAATGGACTGGAGGTGGGAAACTGAAGGACGAGAATGGGAGGTGTCACGCTTCACACTCTGGGCACGTATGAACGCTGCAGGCATGATGATACCAAGTGGACATAGCCGTGTGTGTGTAAACAGGGCCAGGATTTCCTGTTTTGGTAGTATTAGGAAGCAACTTTGGGAGTGATCCTGGGGACTAGCTTCATCTCAGCAATAACACTTGTGTGGACTTCAACTCCCAGAATTCCCCAAGGCAGCCGGGTGCCCTAGCAGCAGAGGCAGTTATATGCTCACAAGGTCTCATGATTGGAGAGAGAAATGTGTAATGCAGAATGCAGGATGACAAAGTAGAAACTCTCTGGAACGCTCTGGCTTCAAAAAAAAAAACAAGTAGTCCTTGATTTATGACCAGTCCAGAAAAGGGGATTTATGACCTGGTTCCAAAGTTCTGACAGTCACCCACCTATGGAGTCAAGTGTCCACACTTTTATTACTTGGCCACATGGCTGCATTTACAACCATTTGTAGCATCTGATGATCCCGTGACTCCATTTTATGACAGTTTTTCCGAAAACTAGCACTTCCAGTTTTCGGCAAAATGATATCTGTAGTGAATCATTGGTTCACTGAATGACTGTGATGGCCACAAAAGAGGTCATATTTTATGGGCAAGTTTCATTACAATCGTATCTCAAGGACTACCTTTAAAAGAACAGACATAAGTAGCAGCTTCCTGGTTACCTGTGGCAATAAATAATTAATAAATAATAGACAACCAGGCTATTTACCATTCTGCTGTGCTCTTCATTAACTTTAACTATCTGAACTGATTGGAAATTGCTGCTGGTCATGATAAAAACAAATGTTCAAACGTTTCAGATGGTCAAAGCACTTTGTATCTTTATGAGGAAGATCTATTGGCCAGTGTATGGATAGTTGGAAGCTATATCTTGTTGGGAAGTGAATGATGAACTTGGTGGATTTTTGATCTCATCTTCATTTAGCAACTACAAACAGGATAGACAAGTAGGTTGTTAAGCAAAGCAGTTGTTAAGTGAATTGTCATGATTTTACAATCTTAACTCCTTGCAGACCTGCAAAGGTCAAAAATACGAAGATTAGTCACTAAGTTGTTTTTTTTCATCATGTTGTAACTGCAAATAATGGTTAAACAAGGCAGTTGCACCATGAGGACTACCTGTAGGGCTCTTTTGAGACACTTTTCAGAGTGAATGGTTCATTAATAAATAAATAATGTTGAACAGCATTTTGTCTTTGCTGAATTCTCCAAAATAGTTCAGGTCATCGCATGAAATTGCTCTCCTTAACTAGTTTGACCTCACTGAATAAGTTAAATACTATTCAGTGGCTGCATTTTATTTATTGCAGAATAGAAATAGGATATATAAGGTTCAAATAATTATCTGCAATAAAAAATCTGTCTATTTTTTGGCAGAGACATATCCTGTTATTCTATTATTACGAATCTTCCATCAATATTGGCAGCTCTTACTCTAAATTAGTTTTGGATTTGTGAATTTTGCTTTGGGTTTAGACAAAACTGGGCACGATGCTCCATGTGGGTTTTGGCAATAAGAATTCCACGTTAGCCCTTCTTTTTCATCCTAGAATACAGATAGAGACCCATGCAGGATGCTTCCAGTGACCCAATGTGCAGAAAAAATGTCTAATTCACTAATTTATGTTTACATTGCCGCATGAAACAAGAAAAAGCAAGTTCAAAGGCATGCTTTGGTTGGGCTTGTTCACAAAACACATTTAACCAGATGATGGAGCCACCTTATTCCCTGGGTTGGTATAATACTTTGAATCAGTAACTAATCCACCAACCTGGATTCACAGAACGCATAAAGTCACCCAAAAAAAAAAAAGTCCTAACAAGTTTAGAATTAGCTAGGCTTTTCATATTGTGCAAATGACCGATCTAGTCTGTAATCATCAAGTTAGGCATGTTTGAGAAGAAGCACAACCACTTTTTACTATGGAAATTTGAAGAGTGCTTTAAAAAAAATCATCTCCTTGGTCAATTGTTCAAAATGTTGTCTTGCAGATAGCACTGAGGATAAACTACTACCTTGTTTATTTGTTGTGGCCCTGGAATAAAAAGCCAGGGTTTGTTTCAAATTCTGACGGTGTCCTATAAATGAACACTCAAAATGCTTTCGGTGTTGTCCTTTCAATGTTGGTCTGAAAAAGCTGCTTTGCTGTCAATCCAGGCTGTTTGTGGTTCAGCTTCTGTATCTAAAAAGGGATCTGTTTGCTGGATGGTTGAGTCTACGTCCTGCTCATCTTTTGGCCATGGCAGTGCAAACATGCTGTTAAGTGTGCGCAGGAACCTGATATTTAACATCTTCTGTGAAGGCTGTCATCTGTTGCATGCTTTCTATGGGACTCGGCCTCTCTCAGCTGGATGGGACCTGAGTCGGTCAGCTTGTAACAAGAAGGAGCTGTAAATGATGTCTTCACCTCCTGCTGTTGTTTGGCTGCAGGAGGGGAAAAGACCTCCGACAGTGGGCCTCTGGGAAGGTCATAGCCCCGCCAGGAGCCACTGAGCCACCACACGTGCTAAGTTGCTTTCTGCCAAGCTCACTTAGGCCCGTGACATCAGTGGGGACGTGCGCTGGAGTAGAATACACGAGGCTGCAGATCAGCACATAAAAAGGTGTTCGTATGGTTTCCTGTTCCTGCAGGCAGCTCGAATCGAGGCACCCTCGTGGGCTTTCCCGGGAGTCTCCTTCGCAACTCATAGCATTCACTGCATGATCCCCGCTGCTGCATGCTCGCACTTCCACCAGATCCCCCCCCGCACCCCGCTGCCCTTAACACCTGTGTGTCTTTTCCCTCTGTAGGTGCAAGCAGGTGCTCTCTCTCTGCTGTAAATCTCCCCAAACATGTGGACTCTATAATCAACAAGCGCCTCTCCAAATCTTCTGCCACTCTCTGGAACTCGCCCAGTAGAAGTAAGAGACCCCCGGGGACATGCAGCTGTGTCAGGGCGAGGGATGGGGGCCCCCAATTTTAAATCCATCCTATCGATAGTCCTGGAACTAGCTGACAGGGGTAAACTGATAAGAGAAGAAAGAAAGGAAGAAAGAAAGAAAGAAAGAAAGAA